GGATCAGCTGGGGTGGGAGTAAATTCCCAGTCTCGTGGGTCTGATTGCAGGAGTGGGAGCTATCTTTAGCTGCTTCCCCCCCCCCCCCCCCCAAAAAAAAGCTTAAAAAGTAGGTTAGCATCCTGCCGCCTAGCACAACACTATCTTACATGGCACCTACACATAATATATATTCACATTTCATTTTAAAATTAGGTACTCTTACAAACAGACTTAGAAAACATTGGCTGGCAGCGCAGCCCCAGGGACTGCCTGGCCCCCAGCCCCACGCCGGCCGGCTGCCCCCCAGCTCCTCCGGCTGCCCCCCAAGCTGCCAATGTGCCCTGAATGGAACCCACCAGCTGCCCCCACTGCCGCCCTTCAGGGAACGGGGGGGTGGAAGTGCTCGTGAAGGAGAGGGCTTGTCCGTGGGGAGGGGAGGGGGGGGAGGACAGGGACGGCGATTTCTGCTAAGCCTAGGGGTGAGCTTAATACAAACAAGAACTCCTGAGAACATCTTAGAACAGATGGATTCATTTCACAACCACCAAGCTAAAGGATGGGCCGAACGGACGCTACGACACATGGCTGGGGAGGGGGTGGGGGGGAGAGGGGAAAGGAGTAGCGGGGGCACACACACGCGATGCGGGGACATCGTAGCCTTGTGGTTTGCTCCAAAAAAACCTACCGCTACAGGAAAAGCTGCGGTGGGGTTCCCTGGCAGGGGGGAGCTGACCCCCACCTGGCTCCCAGGCTATCCAGGTGTACGGCCATGGGATACGGACCCAAGGATGCCTTGGCTGGAGCTCAGCCCCTTCCCTCAGTGGGAAGGCAAGAGAGCCCCAGCTGGATGGCAGCCCCCAAACACCTCCTGCCCATGCGGCTTTCCCAGTCGCCTTCCAACTGGGAATGCAGTTGTCAGGCTGAAAGAATAACAAGCCGGAGAGAGAAAGCATCCAACAGCAAGTCTTAAAAGCAGGGCGGTAGTACATCCCTGGCCTTCTGAGACCGAGGGCTGGCAGAGCTCTCGGAAACGCTGCTGTTTCCAGAGGTGCCGTGCGAGCGGCTGGGACACAGGTTGGGCTTCAGCATCGCTCATCCACCCCCCAACCAAAAGCAGCTGGGGCAGCCCCCGCCAGCCCACCGGGTCTAGTGCCCCCCAGCTCCTTCTGGCACAGGGGGGACATGGGGAGCATCAGGGATGAGTTCCTCCTGCTCTCCCAGCTCCTGGAGGATGACCAGCAACGTGGCAGACCGTTCACTGGAGGCATCACCGCTGGCCAGCCAGCTCTTTGGAGAAGGTTTGCTGCAAACACCCATCACTGACCCGCCGGCAGCCGGACACAGAAACACCCATCACTGCACACAGCGAACACGAGCACGAAGGACCTCATTAGTGACAAACTAGTGATGAATATAAACACATGCACACCTTGGATATACTGCACGCGCCCTTGTCCGCGGAGAAACCCACTCCAAGACTACCATTGCCAGACAAGAAAACATAACAGTGACAGATAAAAGGAGCCATCCCGGGCTCAAACTGCTCCCGACAGATAGATTTTGACTTGAAGCTCGGCAAGCCAAGTCCCTCCTGGAGGTCAGGGAAGATGGATGCTTCCTGACACACATGAAGTGTGAAGACCCAGAGCTGCTCACGACAAGGTGACCATGCACATAAGAGAGAGGGGCTGGCAGCAAAGGGACAGCAAGGCTCTGTAGGCACAGAGCTAAGAAGATGCTGCTCCTGGTGTGTGGACCTGAGAGCCGGGATGGAGGCTAGTTGCAAGAATAGGATGAGAAAGCAGCCAGCAAGGAAAGTCAGAGTAACCCCAAGAAGTCTGTTTTATGGGACATGGTACTTGTGCTGAAATCTGGAGCTGAGGGCGCAGAGCAGAGAGATGCGGGGTGGCCCGGAGGAGGAGGAGGAGCGTGGTGAGGCTGCAGAGCTGAGGATGGCACTGTGGTCATGCCAGTGGGCAGCTCGGCACCCTTCAAATGGAAACGCGCTCCACGCCCGTGTGGAATAAGGGGATAAATCGTGTTGCTTACTCCCTTCCATTCATTAAGATCCTCTGCAGGTCCCTGCACATCCCTTGTAGAGTGGAAAAGCTGCATTTATGGGAAACAGGCTGGGGCCCTGCCTCAGCAGCACATCTCCCCCTGCCACAGAACGAGGAGAAACAAGCAGGGCCTGTCCCGAGTCATTAACACAGGTTACACCCGTGTAACAGGTTACACCCGTGGTACTGCCTCTACCTACTTGTGGGTCTCTTCTGCACTGTCCCAGCTGAAATGGGGCTCCACGGAGAGAGGAAACTGGGAAGCAAACCAGGAAGACAGCAATGCAACACAAGGGCTGACGGGGAGAAAAAGAAAAGGAGGAAGAATTTAAACAGGAGGCGGCGACTTGCATCTGAGCCCTGACAAAGAAATTGGAGCTACTCGTGCAACGCCACCCTGCCAGGCAGTCACCTCACACACAGACCCTTTAATTTGCTTAGCAAATTAAACTGAAATTTAATTTTCTAGCAAATTACAGCACTCCTCCTTCCTGCCCCAAAATAAAAGCACTCACACAAGCGAGTGTGAAGCGCATTAAAAGCAGGTCTTGCAGTCTGCAAGACCTGGCAGCTATCACTGTGCCAAGTGGAGAAGGCACCCCGGGGAGGTGGAGGGACCAAGGATGGCATCTCCCCAAGCAGTGACAGCAAGGGAAGGGGCCTGGCAAGTAGCTGGGGGCCTCCTCGGAGCAGAAAGCCTTAATGCTTTTCTAGAGGTGACAACCACCCCTGGCCTACCTCACCCCCGGGGCACCCTCCCCTGGGGTAACGGATTGCACAAATGTGAAATTTGGAGAACTTGTTACTAAAGCACCACTATTCCCACCTCAAGGTGGACTGGAGAGGTCCTGCCCCAAGCGATAACTCAGCCACAGGTGGTGGCTTCACCTCACCCATCCCTTGGCAAACACGCCTGCTCCTAAAAACGACCTGGGTGAGTTAAACCCACCCCCCCAAAGCCCAGCAGCCTGGGTGGGAGGAAACACTCCTGCCAGCTCCTCACAAACAGCACAACGTAGAGAGGAATCACTCCAGTTTTCCTCAAAACTGTGATTTCTGAACAAGGGGGAGTTGTGGGGGGGAAAGGAGGAGCGGGGGAGCAGAGCAGCTCCGAGCAGGGCCTGGGTGCTTCCTGGGAGCCCCACGAAGGCCGCGGCCCCAGGGACAGGACCCAAGGAGCAGGAGCCAGGGGGGGGTCCTTGCTGACAAGACCCCAGACCATCTCACCCCCCTGGAAAAGCCTGGCCCCACACCTCCTGCAGCCCCCTGTCCCTGCAGATGCCTCGGGTGCTGCTCTGCCACCCCAGCCAGGAGCCCACCAGGGACAGGCTGGGCTGGTCACAGGCCGCAGTCTGGGGCAATTGTATTTAAAAACAATTTTCTTTGAAAAAAACCACAAAGCCTCAGAATTGTTTGCTTTCTCCTCATTCACTTTCTGGACACAAGAGTAACAACCCACACCCCAGCCCAGAATCCTCGTTTCAGCCCCATCCTGACAGAAAACACACCCTCTGCCTTTCGTCATTGAAGGGAACATAAATTCAGATTTCCAGCTGTGAGGCACAGCCCGGCTCCTTTAAAAAGTCAGTAGGATCTTTGCACGGATTTTGTGAGTGTTACTCACTTATTTTTTGCACAGAACATGTCGGATCTAAATTGAGACAGCTGGGGCTTGCTGAAGGCCCCTGGCATCCCCCGGGGAGGGACGGAGCTGCTAGCTGAAGGGGATGGGGGCCTCCGGGGCCACCTCACTCCCTCCTGGGATCCCCGTGACTCCCTGTGTAGGAAATCTCCATCCTCCCGAGCCGAAACACAGCAGTTGGACAGAATGTTACAGACCCAGACTGGGAGTTGAAAGGGGTGGGAGGAATATGGTTTTCCTTTGAGCATCTCTGGTTTCTCCCCGTGACGGGTCCTGGCCATTCCCCTCCGGAGCTGACGCCAGAAAGCTCAACGTGCTGATCCCACCACTGCCTGAGCCAACCAGCACACACCAAACTGGGACAGACGCCTGGACACCGCTTCACTCCCACACTGATGGGATGCCTGACATCTCCTGCCCCTGCCATGCTCCAGCCGAGTGGGGTTGGTGGAGCCCCCGGGCACAGGGAGGCAGCCAGGAGGCTGGAGGGACATCACCCCATCTCCACTCACTTCGTCAAGGTTTTAATCCTAATGAGGTTCCCACTCCTAGAAGCAGGGAAGATGGGGAGCAAGAGGAAGAGAGAGTGAAACTCCCAAGGATGGCTCGGTGCGTGGTGCCCGGCACGTACAGCCCAACACGGGCGCTTCAGGAGTGATGGTGAAGGATGGAAAAGGGGGGTTTTGCTGCAGGGGAACGGGGCGAGGAGCTGAGATAAGAGGGATGCTCACACGCACGCCCTGCCCACGGGAAGAAGGGGAAATCCTGTGCCCTGGAGCGGCTGCCCCAGCCGGAGGTTAGAGGAGGAGCTTTAAGTAAGGATGGAGAAGCAAGAGGAAAAGACAACCTGTAAGAAAGGTACAGATCAGTCATTTAACTGCCATCAGTGCCCTCCTGCCTCACACCTCTCCTGAAATGCTTTTAAATCTTTTCTGATGGAATGTTTGACATATTTAATGCATGCAGTAAAAATTAAAGTAATAGATAACTTCATATTAATCTGTACAGGGACTGACAGGCTAGATTTAATCACTTCCTAGCTGTTCAGAGAGTTAACTTATTCTAACATGAGTCAAAGGAAAGGTAAAGGATTTTTTCTTTTTTTTAAATCAGCCATTTCATAGTAAGAGAAAATTGTGCCGCAGCCTCGTGTGCATCAGTGCTGGGGAAGGGAATACCTGCAAGAGAGCCAGAGGTGCTCTGAGAAGGGCAGGTGAATCTGAATTCCCTGTTTCATCCTCTAAATGGGTAACATTTAAAGAGGATTTAACCTGCCTTCTACCTCCAGTCCATGGGGTTCAATGCCAACCATAAAAAGCAATTCCCATTGCAGCCGAGCCCTCTCTAGCCTCTGTGCCCAGAGGCAGCATCTCTGGAACGTCTGGCCTGTCCCCAGAGCCTGCAGCAGGGACAAGTTGCTCAGCAAGGACCGGCAAGTGGCTCTGTTGACCCCAGAGCCTGCTCAGGCACTGCTGCTTTCTGCATGGGAAGAGGTTTAGCAGCGGGATTCATGCCAATGGACTTTGTGCAGCAAGGTGACAGCGGGGACGCAGTGGCTGGGCAGGGTCCTGTCCCCCAGCGCGGGTGGCACGGTCCCTCCCCAGCCCCTGAGCATCCCTGCCCGGGATGGCCGGCGCAGCCACGCGCTCTCTGCTCTTCTAACGGGTTATATCTCAGCGGTGCTGGGCACCGGGACCCTCTTCTGCCACTGCAGACCCCCCACCCGGCTCTTCCACGTGCAGCAGGGGCTTCCCGAGGAGACCTGCGAAGGCATCGCTGCAGGACAGGGCAGAGGCTTGGCCACCTTCAGACTCCGCAGCACCAGACACGGACAAACCCAACCACACCTGGCTAGTAAAAGGTCAAAATGCAAATTACAGTAAAAAACAACCCGAAGTCAGTCCCTTATCCCAACCCTATTCCAACTGCGAATCCCGGCTTAGGAGGGTGCTAAGAAGAGGTGCACAGGGTGAGGGTCAGGGCTCCCCCTCTGCAGAGCACCAGCATCAGAAGGAGCCCGAGCCCCTAAAAAGGGAGAGATTCACCCCTCAGTGAAGCGCTGCAGAAGCTGCTTTGCCATCAGAGCCCCACAGAAACCACCACGGGGACAGCAAAACGGGAGACACAGGCATGTCCAACAGCAGGGCACGGCAGGACCCCTTCATCCCTGAAGCCAGCAAGAAATAAAGACGGATACAGCCCAGCGCGCCCGGAGGCGGCAGCCTGGTACCCACAGCATCTCCTCCACCACCTCCGCCTGAGCGGGACCTCCCCACCCCACGGGCTGTGCAATGGGGGGGAAGGAGGCCATCAGCAGTACACACACCAGTAGCTAATTAATACTTGGATGCAGGTAATGGCACGGGACACCAGCAGCTGCTACTAACAAACCAACAAAGGACAGATTTGCCTTTTTCTCCCTCACCGATGGGAAATGGTTTTGGTTTTGCTTTAAATGCCACTAAGAAGACAGACAGAAGGAGGACTCGGAAGGAAAGGGAAATGTTTGCGTGCACCCAAAGGCTGCCAAAAGCTACTTCATGTGCACGAAGGTGGTTTTCTTTCTGCTACAGTACAAGTGCTTGTGCCTCAAGTATAAAACGCAAGCCTCCAAATCACACAGACGAGCTTCTTATTTTTATTTTTAAAGTGATAAATAAGGCACTGTACTTTTAACTAAAACTGCCTGGTTCCAAGTTTTTAAAAAAAAAACCCAAGGAACGTTCAAACTGCAGAAACTTCCTTCTGAACAGCAGAGCCAGACAGGCCGACCTCTTCTCTGTCCGAGACACATCTGCTGATGCCTAAAATCACGGGCGTTATCCTTTAACTGCGGATTTTTAAAGGCTTGCTACAGCTTATAAAAGCAGCTTTAGTTAATGCATGGTAAAGGGCTACTACTATACATCAGTTTTGTACATGGCTACCGGCTCTTCGCTATTTCGGGTCCAGTCGCGAGCGTTTGCTGTGTGAACAGTCCACTTTTGCCCTCAGCTTCCTCTTGCCCTGCGACCCGCTGCTCTCCTGCATCTTCTTCATGGACCTCGTCAGGGTCTTCCCGCCGCTGGGCTTCTTGTTGGCCATCTTCTGCGCCCGCGTGGAGGACTCCCCCAAGGGCTTCTGCTTGGGGGACTTGGCCAGCTCCTCGTGGCCGGGGGGCAGCACGGCCCGTCTGCTTGTGTTCTCCTTGCCCTTCCGCATGGGGAGCCGCACCTTCTCCAGCTGCCTTTTTGGGGCTCTCTTCTCTTTCAAAGCCATTTTTCTGGCCAGCTTATTGCTTCTCTCCATGGCAGCCTGCTTGCGGGTGGCGGGAGCTTTCGTGCCAACTTCTAAATGCTTTATTTTACTGGCCTTCTTGGCAGGCAGCTTGTCCTTGGTGGAGGAGCCCGACCGCTCCTGGGTGCCCCCGCTCTCCTTCAGCGTCCTCTTCTTCCTGCTGAGCTGGAGATCAGCTTTGGGTGAGGGGTCCTCCTGGGACCTGCCCTTCCCCTTCCGCCCCTTCCCCGTCCCATCCACCGACGGAGATCTAGCAGGAAAGGCGTCTGCTTTGATCTGCAAGGCCAACTTTGGGGACATCAGGGGGTTGATGCACACGCTCTTGCGGCTCTGCTTGCTCTCCAGGGACGGGTGGTCCCCCGGGCCATCACTCTTCTTCTCTGCCTTCACCACGCGGTGCTGGGCTCGCAGCTTGCCCCGCAGGTTGGAGTACTTGCGCAGGATCCTGGTGCTGGCCTGCGTGGGCAAGCTGAGGGCGGGTGGGATGGTTTTGTCTTCGCTCAGGTTCTCAGTACTGGCGTCGGTGAGAGGGGTCTGGCTGGGACCGGTGGCTTCTTCAGCCTCCGCTTTATCAGCGTTCTCCCGAATTTTGGCCCAAAGCTTTTGGTTCTTCAGGTTATTCCGAGCCGGGGTAGTGGCAGCAAACTTCTTGAGGTGTTTTTTCAAACGCTCAGCTTGCAGCGAGCTGGGGTAGAGACCGGAGGAAGAATATTTCTGCATGGGGACTTTGATGGGGGGGATCTCCCCCGGGAGACGGGTGTTGAGTTTCTTCACGATCACTAGAGACCTAGTTTCAGTTGTCTCCAGAAACCACTGGCAGATGTCGGAGAGCTTAAAGGCCTTCATAAACAGCATCTGGACAGGAGAAAGCTTCTGCACTTCCAGCGAGCCTCTACTTTTCCGCGTCCTTTTCTTGCTTTTCCAAATCTCTTTCAGCTTGTCGGCTTTGCTCTTTACCTTGGGGGTTGGCTGCACCTCCTTCTCCAGCTGAATCCACCCTTTCTGAACTTTCATGTACTGTGCGTTGAACTCGGCAATGAGCTCCTGGTTCTCTTCTTCAGCACACCACTCCATGAACTTTGGTTTGCTGTCTATGTCCTCCAACTCCGGGAAGTCGTCATTCCCTGAACTCCACTCGTCCCTCAGCTTGGGGATCGCTTGCGTAGACTCCTTCCCTGGTGTGCTCTTTTTTGTGGTTTCCACGGGCGCGGGCGCGTGTCTTAAGTTATAAAACTGCAGGGCAACCTTTTTATGCTTTGCAGCCTTTGGGGGAAGATGTTTGCTTCCACCTCTGCTGCTGGGACATGGAAGCAAATTGGCCACCAGCTCACAGCTCTCCAGCTTGCTCGTGTCCATGGCACTGTCAGAGCTCTCCTCGTCCTTTGCGCTGGCATTGTCTGATTTCACATCCTCTTCCTCGGTGTCGTTCGCAGGCACGCTGCTCTCTGGAGGGAGGAGAATGCTTCTGTCCTCAGAATCAGCCTGGACATCAGCTTCCAGCATCTCGCCCGGTTGATTTTGGCCGCTGTGAGCAGGGGGGTCGTCTTTAGAGGAATTTTCTTCCTCTGCAGCAGTCTCTTTCGCTAAGATGCTTTTATAGGTTTGTCTGGTGGTGACACCGTTCTCCTCACCTGGCCACTGCTCAGCGATGCTCTCGGAGGCGCCCGGCCCCTCGCTGGTTTTGAGCAGCGCGTTGGGGCAGCAGTCGTTTGGGAAGTGCAGGGACGCTGCCCCATCCAGCTGCACTTCTCTCTTGAACCGCTTAGCGCCAGGGCTCTTGGAGAGTTTGATCTGAAGGCAAGGAAGCTGCACAGAGCTGGAAGTACCAGTGTCCTCAGCGCTGCCCTCGGTCGGTGACTGGGACTGCTGGCTTCGGAGACGCCGATCCGATGCCACGAGCACCCTCCTGCTTTTCTTGCGCTTCTTGTCTAGACTGTCTTTGGAAGAGACCGAGTCTTTCTCTGCAGTATCTGAGCCATCGGGTTCAGGCGGCGTTTCCCCTTCAAGGGACTCTTTTTCACCTACTGGGCTGTTAATCTGCACTGCCTCTCCTTGGCAGATTTTGGGGAGGTCCTCTTGCTCAAGGGAGCCGTCACCTGCCATGCCTGGGAATTCAGCTTCTGGTTCAGCATCGATGCTTTTGTTCATGTCCACGCACTGGAAGGTGGCAGGGGGCTCCAGGGGGCTCTCCCCATCCAAGGTGGCAGGGAGCTCTGGGGGGCTCTCCCCATCCAAGGTGGCAGGGGGCTCATCAGGAGCCAGCCGCCCCGGAGAGCGTGGGGAGGGCTCTGCCAGACACAGCCCGCTGGGCTCCGTGTCTCCCGTGCCTGGAAGCTGGGCAGGATCCCTGGCACCATCACGGGCCAGGGGTGCTGTGTCCGCAGCGGCGCAGGGCTGCAGGGGGGACTTTGGCTCCGGGCAGGCGGAGAGGTCCAGATCAGTTTGTGTGTCAGAGCCTGGGGAACTTTCCTCCCCGCCGGGGGGCTCTGAAACTGGAAGGGCAGCAAAATCAGCAGCCTGCCCGCCACCACTGCCCTCCCCGGAGGAGCCCAGGCTGCTGCCAGCATCCCAGGGGATGGAGCCTCCTGCTCTCGTCCCCCCTCCTTCAGCAGGAGGGGAGCCGGGGGGCGGCGAGCCGGCCAAGCTGTCCTCTTTCTGGGGGCTGGGTGGAGCAGAGAGGGAGAAGAAGGGCATGGCCATGGTGGCTTCCCTCGACCGCAGCGCCCGGGTATCCCGGGGGGGCACAGAGCTCAGCTCAGCTCTCTCTTTTGTTTCTCGGCTGGTTGGTGCCCCTTTAGCCAGGAGCCTCAGGGAAACCCTCTTCTCACCATCCCGTCCTGCCCCCGCGGACCCCCCCACGGAGAGCACCAGGGGCGGCTTAGTGCTCACGAGGGTCTCTGTTCGCCGCGCGGGGCTGCTGCCCCTCTCCTCCCCCCGGCAGCTCCGGACCAGCGTGCGGACGGTCGGGAGCTCGCAGCACTCCCCGTTGAAGTAGTACCCCCGGGTGCTCTTCCTGGCCGTCCTGCGGGACGAGACGGACCGCTGGCTCTCGAAGTGGCACTCGGTGATGGGCTGGCTGATGTAGACCACGTCGCACTGGTTGTCGTAGTCATTGATTCTCAGCCCTGACGCCTTCTTGCTCTTCCGAGTGGATCTGAGGGAGGCTGCCTTGGCGCGGGGGTGCCCGCCGGGGGTCCGGTGGGCGGCTGGCGCGGCGCCGGCAGGTAGCCAGCCCTCTTTGGACTTGTCGAGGGGTCCCTTCTCGGCCGGGTGCAGGTGGCAGCCTGCCTTGCCCTTGGCCATGGCGTGGAGGTGGTTTTCTTGCTTTGGTCTCGCATCTTGTTCTTTCGCGTCTAAGTCCTGGTGCAAAGATGCTTTCGAGCTGCATTGTAAAGTGTTCTCTTTGTCGGCTCTGCGAGGGGGGGTCACCGCAAAGCCGGGATCCCACGACTCTTCTGGGAGAGCTCTGAAAGAGCTCTTCTGGGACCCCAGACAGCCGTCTAAGCTGTCCTCGCTGCCATTCACATTTGCCACCTTGACCGAGATATAACCTTCCACGAGAGTCTTACCTGCTAGCTGCTCTTTAGTGTCCTCACACCTTCTGACACTGGCTTCTTGCTCGTGTCCGGTGGCTTGCTGCCCTTCCAGGCTTTTTGTGGCATGATGGAAATTCAAAGAGGAAGAGTTCAACGCGCTGAGGTATCCTTGGGTGGAGCTATCCTTTGGACTAGCAGAGTGAAGCCTGGTGATGGGGAGCTCAGAGAAGTCCCTTCTCAAAGCAGGACTGGAGCTCTCTGCTCTGTCCAGAGACTTCAGCTCCGCCGGCTGCTTCGGGGCTTGTCCTGTAAGATGCAGGGGGCCATCAGACCCCGACTGTCCTGGGTCCAAGGAAGAAGGGGGCTTTGATTCAGTACAAGTAGCACCCTTATCCTGATTTTCAGTGCTTCGCTGGCTACAACCAGAGCCACAAGTAGCGGCCTCCATGCTCTCGGATTCAGACAACTGCTGGCCTTCAGAGTCTGGTTGTACTTCAGTGTATATGTCGTTTAGCACACGGATGAATTGCTTCTGGTGGTGCGTACACAGTCTGACCATAAACTTTTCCAGTGGAGACTTCGGCTGATTGTTAGAGTCTATTGCTATTGTCTCTGCTGCATCCTCTCTGGAGAGACAAAGAGAGAAGCAATCAGTAATATGTCCCAGGGAATAAAAGTTTATGCTGCAAAACTGGAATAGCCCTTCTCCTCCCACTCATTGTACCGCTTGCCTGACCTCCAGGTGGGATCAAGCATCCTGCTGTCACAGGGCTGGCAGTCTCCAGCACGCACGCTTACGTACACATGCTGCTGGCAGGATGTGGACTGGCACTTTTGTTTGTCTCCCACTGCCAGAGCGCCCGTGTCAGCCTGGGACATCCTGGTGTGTAGGCACCACATGATGTGTTCAAAGCAAATCTACATTTCCCAGTCAGAATCAGATTTACTATCCACATGGTGCCCGGGGTAGAAGTCCCAGCACTTTGGGGACCCTTCCAGGACCATGGCACCCCTCTGCGTGCGTGACCTGCGTGGCCAGGCTGGGTGGGAGCGGAGCAGCGTCCCAGCTGGGCAGTCAGATGCCAGAAACCTCAAACCCCTGTGTGTTTCTTCACATTCTGCTTACACTTCAGTGGCAGGAGATGGGCAAACTGAACAGATCTGAGCCTCCTCCTCCGTAATCAGGGCAGAAATTTGGAGGAGCAGGATGTGCAGGCAGCGATGCACCCTCGTGTGATGCGGTGCCGTCCCACCCGCACTGGCCTTTGATTTACTGCCATTTAATGCAGTGGCCCTGCAGCCCAGGGGCTGGCTGTCAACGAGCGGTGGTGGCTTGGAAAGGTGTGCTTCTACAGCACAGAATCACCCCCACTCTGCTAGCTCTCAAATCAAGGCCATTATCATCTACCTGCCTGGCAGAGGCAATTAATTAGGCCTTATTGGTGGAGAGGCTAAGGGATAATTACCCAGTGTTTGCATGAACTCATCAGGAGGGCCATTCCAGGTGCTGTTATCGAGACCGTACCTGTTTCCCAACGGCAGCCATTCCCACCCAGTCCCCACCACAGCGAGGGGGCTGCGCACCTTGGCACCCACCCTGCCTGGCACAGGGTCATTGCCAGCAACACAAGGGCTGCTTTTCAGTAACAGTCGCACTTTGCACCTCCTGGCTTTCTACCAGAGGGGTGAAAAGTCGTTCCCCCCCCCCCCCCCTCCCCAGCATCGGGAACTGACCTCGCTTGCTCTCTGGGTCAGGGGGGGACACGCTTATCACGGGATTTGGGGCCAGGGTGGGGAAAATCAGCTTTATCTGGAGTGGGTTTTTCCTCCCCAGGCTGCCAGGTGCAGGGCTGCACGGGCAGAGAGGGAGGGAGAGCCCTGGCTCGAAGGAGCTGGTGGCAGAGAGGAGGAGGAGGAGGAAGGAGAGCCAGGGACCGGAGCTGGCGGGGCTCGGTGGCAGCCAGGGTGGGGAAAATCAGCTTTATCTGGAGTGGGTTTTTCCTCCCCAGGCTGCCAGGTGCAGGGCTGCATGGCAGAGAGGGAGGGAGAGCCCCGGCTCGAAGGAGCTGGTGGCAGAGAGGAGGAGGAGGAGGAAGGAGAGCCAGGGACCGGAGCTGGCGGGGCTCGGTGGCAGCCGGTGTGCCGAGGTGGCCCCGGGCAACCATCACCTGCTGCTTGCTTACTGCGGGCGGGCTGCTCGCTTTGAAATGACAAGCTCTGGGGGGCCACCTCCAGCAACCCGCTCCCCCCAGCTTGTGGGGTCTGCTCCCAAACCCGGCAAAGGGCAGGGGAAGGTGCCCAAGGGCCACCTTGGACTGGCCAGGTGGCACCTGGTCTCCTCTTCGCTCAGAAACACTACGCTGCAGCCCTGCCTGCCCTCAGCATCTGCCCAGCCAGCCTTCGCTTTCCAGTTTGCCCCAATTTTAAAGCGTAACGAGGCTTTGCCTCTCAATCTCAGCCACTGGGTTTCCTCAAAGGCTTTGTGGGGCAGGGTTTTCCCAAAACTGCCCAGAAAGGGCTGAGCGAGCCTGTCTCGCCCAGTGTGCTCCGGCACCTCCAGAGGTTAGAGATAAAGAACGTACCTCCAGACTGCTCTACTACACCCGGGCAGGAAAAGCGCCCTCCAGCCACCACCTCAACTGGTTCTACCTGGCGCTCCGAGGACTTTTCAATTCTGCAACGCCTGGGATTAGTTCAAATAAAAACGCTCAGGTACAACCTGGCCCCTCTCCAGAGCCCTGCACAGGAAGGGTTGATGTCAGCCGGGATCTCTTCCCCAGCCCAGCTCCTCCCCTTGCCCTGCTGAATAACAAAGGGGGGATAAAAAAAAAAACCCTCCTCTCCCCTGCAAAAAGGGGGGTTTGGAGCAGGGGGCTTTTCCAAGGGGCAGACCTTCAGCACGACCTTCTTTTTTTTTTTTTTTTTTTTTTTAGCTTCAGCACGACCTTTTTTTTTCTTCTTTTTTTTTCACTTTTGCAAAGAGGGCGGGTGTTTTCCTCTTACCTGCTCGCCAGCCCAGCTCATGAGAGCGGCAGCCATCTTCCCCCAGCCAGCCCCAATTTATAGCAGCGGCGGCAGCAGAGGAGTGGCCCAGCCCCACGCCACGCTCCCGGCCACCATCCGGAAGGTTACGGTGGCATAAAAGCCAGTTCCCTCCTTGCCAGGGCACCTTTGGGTGCCATGGGCAAATGTCCACCAAGGAAGAGCCCGTGGCAGAGGGGAAGGGGTCGCGGGGGAAAAGGCGAGTTGCAGGCTGGGTGATGCCCAGCGATGCCCACCATCTCGGTGGGGCTGTGTATGGAGTCCCCAGTTTGGGAGAAAGGGCCCCATCCCCACCCCTGGAAGTGTTTATGGCCAGGCTGGATGGGGCTTGGAGCAACCTGGTCTGGTGGGAGGTGTCCCTGCCCAGGGCAGGGGGTTGGAACTTGATTGTCTTTAAGATCATCCAACTCTGAGACCTTCCAGCTCTGACCACTCTATGATTCTATGACCAAAGCTGGGCACCCTCCTTCCTCGCCTTGCAGCAGTGATGCCCAATGCAGTGACACCTCCTCTGCAGGGATGTGCAGGGCTGGAAAAGTCCCACTGGTGTGGCAGAGGGGACCTGGGCTCTCTGGGTCCTAAGGGCACCAGGGTGGCGTCTGTGCCTTGCCTTCACCTAGTTTCTTCCCCTGAAGTGTGACTGAGGCCATGGTGCTCGTTACTTCACCTTATTTGCCCCAGTGTACTCCAAGGAGTCACTCTGAGATACATACAGCTTGTCAAGCTGTAAAGTTGAAAAAAAAAGAGAGATAAATATTTTTTCTGCTTGATAAAGGAAATAAAACCATTCAGCCTCAATGCCCTTTGCTCTTAGAAGGCCCATCTCACGCTTGGCAACATGGTTCACCTGCATGGTTCACACACATGGTGTGTGACCTTCAGGGTCCTCTCCTTTAACACCACTTTGGCTCAAAAATCATAGAATCATAGAATGGTCGGAGTTGGAAGGGACCTTAAAGATCACAGAGTTCCAACCCCCTGCCCTGGGCAGGGACACCCCCCACCAGACCAGGTTGCTCCAAGCCCCATCCAGCCTGGCCTTGAACCCCTCCAGGGATGGGGCAGCCACAGCTTCTCTGGGCAACCTGGGCCAGGCTCTCACCACCCTCACACCAAAGAATTTCTTTCTGGTATCTCATCTAAATCTCCCCTCTTTCAGTTTAAATCATTCCCCTTTGTCCTGTCACTCCACTCCCTGACCAAGAGTCCCTCCCCATCTCTCCTGGAGCCCCTTCAGGTACTGGAAGGCCATTAGAAGGTCTCCCCAGAGCCTTCTCTTCTCCAGGCTGAACACCCCCAGCTCTCTCAGCCTGTCTTCACAGCAGAGGGGCTCCAGCCCTCGGAGCATCTTCATGGCCCTCTGCTGGACCCGTTCCAACAGGTCCATGTCCTTTCTATGTAGAGGACACCAAATCTGGACACAGCACTCCAGGTGGGGTCTCACCAGAGCAGAGCAGAGGGGTAGAATCCCCTCCCTGGCCCTGCTGGCCACGCTTCTTTTGATGCGGCCCAGGATGGGGTTGGCTCTCTGGGCTTTGTTCTCGGGAGGCTCTAGTGGAGGTGTCCCTGCCCAGGGCAAAGGGGGTTGGAACTTGATGACCTCTAAGGTCCCTTCCAACTCTGACCATTCTGTGATTCTGTGAGGCAGCCCCCCCTGTCTCTGGAGAGCCTGTCCCTCAGGAGGTGCAGGTCAGCGTGGCAGAGGCTGCAGGGTCAGCAGACGAGTGAAGGAGCCCAGGTCTGCCCAGACCATCGCAGCCTTCTCCCGGTGCCCACACTCACCCCTTCCCACGGGACTTGGCCCAAGGCTCTCTTAACTTTGGGTGTGCAGGAGGAACGTGTCACCTCTCCCAAGGGCTGCAGCGGCCACAAGCCCCGTGGTGGGGTGAGGTGACCCACGGGGGACCCTCTCTTGCCTGTAGCCACGCTTCAAGCGCAGTCACACACCCCCGTGGGGTACCCAGAACGATTCACCACGATGGGAGAGACCACCTGCCCGCCCGTGGGCTTCCAGCAGAGCCTGGCAGAGGCAGGTCTGCCCTCTCTGGCCACCAGCCTTGAGAGCTGCCTACACCAGGGCTGCTGGGGAAGCACCCCACTGCCACGTGTCACCCCACACCAGCACGGGACACCCCGGCATCCCAAGCAAATCTTATCACCTGAGCCCCCGGCTACCTCCCTGGCCCTTCTGGCTTTCCCAGGGCAGCCCCCTTCTCTCCTCCCTCCCCGCCTGCCGCAGAAGGTGTCAGAGGCATCAAGGGGCAGGAGCTGTCAGAGCCACAAACGGAGCTGTTGCTACGCAACCCCGGCGGTGCAGCAATTAACGCTGGGGAAAACGTGCTGTGCTCTAAAGCTATTTGCATAGCTGCGTGCTGCAAGACATTTGTTTGCATTGTGCCTTCCCTGTTTAGCGGAGTTGGAAGTGAACCCTCCCCCCAGCTCTTGCTTGGGAGAGGACTCGGGGGCTTCCAACAAAGGCCAGAGGGTTGGGGACGATGGGGCTGGGGGAAGGTTTGTCTGTCCAGGTGTAGGACATCCTATAGGGCACAGGTATAGGATTTACAGGGCGGGGAGGAAAGGCCAA